TTTCCATGTAATCTCTCATCCTGATCTGAATCTCGTAAGATCCGAAGTTCTCGTAAGATATGAAGTTCAGGCTGACAGTGAACTCATTATGTACCTACGGCTGACCTTGAACTCACAGTGATCCTCTTCCTCAGCCACCCAAATGCAGGGATTACAGGTGTGCACCACCATACTCAGTTTGATCTACCTTTGGACCATTTCCCTCATCCTGGGCTCCATCATGTGAGGGGAAGTCAACCAGGCAATCACTACTGTTTTCTGGCTCTGGAGATCTGTACCTTGGGGGCTATTTTTAAAAATAGAATCCCATAATTTATAGTCTTTGTTACCTGTGTTCTTGGATTCAGCATGATGTTGTTAAGGTTCATCTTATTGGAGTATGTAACAATAAAAGTATGTTCCTTTTATTGCTTAGTAGTATTCTATTGAGTGGGTATATCATATATTGATCTTTTAATTCATGCTTGGATGGTATGTGGGTTGTGTTCAGTTTTGAACTACCAGGATTAACACAGGAATATTCATGTACAAGTCTTTGTGAAAACATAAATTTTTATTTTTCTTGGCTATACATCTAAAAGTGAAATTGCTGGGTCACGTGGTAACTACATTAACCTTTTTGAAGAATTTTGAGGTACTGCTTTTCAAGGTAGATACACCAGTTTATATCCTTACTGGTAATGTGCAAGGGTTCCAGTTTCTCTGCACCCTTGCCAACATTTGTCATTGCCAGTCTTTTTGATGGAAGTCATTCTAGAAGATATAATGCAGTATCTCACAGTGGTTTTAATTGTACTTTCCAAGTGACTAAAGATATAGAACTTTTTTTTTTCACGTGCTTATTGGCCATTCACACATCTGTTTTGGAAAAACTGTCTATTCCTGAAATTTTGGAAGGGTACTGGGAATCGAACCCACAATCTTTCACTTTGTCAGTCAGGTTCTTGTGCCAGAGTTACATCCCCAGTCCTTTTTTCTGATTTTTATAATTTCTCTCTGTACCACTTCTGTGTCTCTCCAAGCATAGTCAAAAGTTTGTCAATTCTGTTGGTCTTTACTAAAAACTAATTTTTGGTCTTACTTTTTTCCATTTTTTTGGCATTATATTTAATTGACCTCCTGTCTAAATTTTGTTTCCTTACTACAACTTGCTTTAAGTTTAGTTTGCTCTACTTTTTATAGTTTCTTTTTTCCTTCCTTCCTTCCTCCCTTCCTTCTCTCTCTCTCTTTCTTTTTTTTCAGGCTGACCTCAAACTCAGGGTAATCCTTTTGCCTTAGCTTTCCAAGTGCTGGAATTACATGCCTCGCATTTTTAGTTTCTTGAGATGGGGGTTTAGTTATTGATTCTTCTCTATGTTCCATTTCAAATCTAAACAGCCCTCTCAGAAAGAGAAATAGTGTTCATGGCTTGAAGCATTCACTCGCCTTCAGAATTTAGGCTAGAGTTGGAAGCTGCCCAAGGAAGAATGCCAACAAGCTACCACTAGCGCTGCCCAAGGCTCAGCAGTTGTTCATGAGTAACAACAGTTCCTCAAATCTGCTGAATCTCATAAACATTACAGGCTTGGTCTGTGGCTCCGCCCCCACGCCTCATGCAATCATAGACGTGGGCCAAATTGAACGTTTGTGATCGGTTTGTTGTCTAGCGCTCAGATTGGTGGTGTGATTGTTTCACTCGCCCGGGGGTGGAGCCAGGATACATATAACAGCAGGAAGAAGGTGTGTCTCTCTCTCTTGCAGGTTTGCGCCTTGCTGTTTGCAGCTGGCCATGAATGGCTCCACCACGCCACCCTGCCGCTTGGAGCCAGCTAAGTATGGACAGAAAGTAAGGAAATAAACCTTTCCTTCCTTCATTATGAGTGTGGGGTGTTTTGTTCCAGCAGTGAGAGAAAAGTAACCACTAGATAGGTTGTCTCTGCAACAGTTTGCAGAGAACTTGTCATGCTACTCATTTCTGCCATGCCAGCATCCTGTCTTTCAAGCCCTTCTTTCCTTCACAGAAAACCACATTTCATTTCATTTCATTCATTCCCCAGTTTCATTCTCTCACAGAATCAATGACATTTAAGGCCATGAGAACAATTGGTTTAAAAAAATAAATTGAAAAATATTGCTCTAAGATTATCAACATTATTTCCCCCATTCCCATCCCCTCTTTTCAAACCTCCTTCTCCTTACTTCTCCTCCCTTGTTCACAAAGTTCAGGTTTCATTTTATACTTCTTTACTCGTTTTTTCTTTCCCTTCCTTCTTTTCTCCTCTCCCTATTTGTCTTTTCCTTTTAACAGTTTTTTCCTATTTCACAATATCTGCTGTACATTTATGTTCTTATTTTCATTTTCAGTTTCTCACACTAGAGAGATAATACTATATTTACACATGTGTGTCTGATTTATTTCACTATGATTATAGTCTCAAGGTCCATTCAATATAAATGTCTCAACTTTATGGCTGAGTAATACTCCATTATATTAATAAAAATACATCTTTTTATCTTAGATTTTTTTGTTTATGTGTTTTGGCACTAGGAATTGAACTCACGACCCTGTACCTAACAGACAAGTGCTTGAGCCACTGAGCTAAACCCTGGCCTTAGAAAAAACGCACATCTTTTTATACACTCATTGGTTGATGCACATTTGGATCATTTCTAAAATTTAACTGTTACAAACTATGTGACTATAAACATGGGCACACATGTATCACTGTGTTATGATTCTTTTAATTCTTCTGGAAAATACCCAGAAAGGGAATAGTTGAATCAAATGGGACTGCTAATCCTAGTTTGGTGAGGAATTTCCACACTGATTTCCACAGTGGTTGCACCAGTCCACACCTACACCAACAGTGGAGAGGGGTTCCTTTCTCCCTTCAGCCCTTCCCTGTTCCTTTTATTTCTTAGTAGTATTCCATTGTGTGGATATATTGATCTTTTAGTTCATCCTTTGATGGTATTTGGGTTGTGTCCAGTTTTGGACTTACTAGGATTAATGCAGCTATGAATATTCATGTACAAGTCTTTATGAGAACATATATTTTTATTTTTTTTGGCTATATATCTAGAAGTGAAATTGCTGGGTCATGTGGTAACTATATTTATCTTTTTGAAGAATTTTGAGGATGAATAATACTCCATTATATAAAAAAACTGCATCTTTTTATCCATTCATTGGTTGATGGGCATTTGGGTTGTTTCCAAGATTTAGCTATTACAAACTGTGCCACATTTGTTATTGTTTTCTTGATAATAGCCATTCTTTCAGTGGATCAAATCGATCTCAGTGTTGTTTTAATTTGCATCTCTTGAATGACCAGTGATGTTGAACAGTTTCATATATTTATTTGCTGTTTATACTTCTTCTGAGAGATATCTATTCATCTCAGAGACCCATTTTTGGGTTGGGTCTGATTTTTGTGTGGTCTGATTTTTTTCAGTTCTTAGCATACTTCACAAAACTAGATTATCAACTTTAACAACAGCATCAGACAGGCAAGAAGCAAATTCCCTCTCCACTTTCTCAGTGTCAATCAAGACAAAAGGAAACTGTGCCTCTGCATCTATAATAGGGACTCCCAAGAGCAATTTTTATCACATGTTTTGTACGGAAGGCAGAAAACCTGCCCTTGATCTCACTGATGTGGCAGATGCCTCTTGTACTAACCAGGAGGGGGATAATAGCAGGAAGTTGCCTCACTTGAAGTTTGGTGGTGGGGCTCCAGGACTAAGCAGATTTTCAAGCCATCAGCTGATGTAATTTGACATAGACTATACATCCCATTCTGTTTCTTAGAGAAAACTGACCTGATTGCTTCCTTTTCTCTCCAGTGATGTGAGAGAAATTTAGCTAGAAAGAACGAGGTCAGAGACTTGGAGATATGGGTCCTAGGCTACAATCCTGCCACCTCCTCCCATTTAAGTCCATTTAGGGCTTAGTTTCTTCATTTGAGAAATGGGTATAACCATACAGTATCACTGGTCCAATTGCTGATTCCTTTATAGCTGCCCTCCCAGGTAATAAGGATGAAGGATGAAGGCAGATGCTGAGAAGACACCCTGTACTTTGGCATGTGGGAAATGACCAGAATGGACATTTTCTAGCAAGAGCTACACTTCCCCTGCTTATTCTGTGAGTAAAGGGGACCTCTTCAGCTTCAGCTTTAGTGGAGACCGCAAAGGGAAGTCTGGGTGCAGAGCAAGACTGAGGCAGAAACATCTTTTCAAGTGACTTTTCAAGCCTAAATCTGATGTTCATACATGAGTCTGCCTGCCCCTCTGGCATCCTTGTCAGACTGACCAGTACACCACAGCAAAGCTGCAGAGTCACACGTGCAAAATTTAAGAGCATTTAAAAGCAAGGAAATGTGGCCATTTTAATTAAAAAGCAAACAAGCAAAAAAAAAAAAAAAAAAAAAAAGCCCGTAACTTTTGTTATATGAGGGATTCGGATCCAGTTTAATATCTTCAAAATAGATTAGCCTAGGGCTTGTATTTCTAAAAAGGTAAAATAAAGCTATTCAACTCAATTTACATCACAAGTATATATTGTTACTATAAAGTGAATTCTAGACTGTAGAAACAAGACTGTAGTCTAAGATGTAACCTTACCTAGTTTTATTTTTAACAATAAGAATGAATCTAGCTACAGTTACTGCAGAAGGGATCATAGGACAACAACTTAAAAATGCAGATTTTTCACGAGTTTCCATGAAAACTGAGCTGGACACCTGAGCTTCAAAAAACTCTGGGAATCCTGTCACCAGCAGGTCTCCTGGCATGGCACCAGAGTCCCCACACCACAGTGCTCCAGCACCTCCAGCCTTACCTCAACCACTTCCATCCCACCTCCTAATCAGGTCATCTGCTTACGGCCTCCTTCCTTCCTGGTCACTCTTCACATTGGCCAGCACCCTGCCCTCTGGCATGGCACCTCAGCCTGTCCTCACTGGGGCCAGGCGCAGGTGGGAAGTGACCAAAGGCGAAGGGCAGACCTTCAATGTTACCTATTTGCCTTTCCAGGTCAGCGGCTTCATCAGGCGTGGCTCGTGGGAGGACTCCGGGGTCACTGAAGCTGGTACGAAGCAGGGTCCCCATCACAAAGAAGAACAGGATGCCACCAACCACAGGGATGGCGGGGGTGATCTTCACTGCTAGGTATGGACAGCTGCCAAAAGGGTGGAGGGGAGGAGGAGGGGAAGAGAAAAGAAAACGCAAGGTTAGGATCAACAGTAAGTAGTCAGTATTTCCAAGAAGTCAAGTTTATTTGGAAGAGTGAAATTGATTTATATTAAAAACCCATCTGTGTTAAGGATTTATATTTGCAAAGGATGTGAACTCTCCACCCCAAACCATGCCCTCCGTTCCCAGCAGAACTAGAATAATCCTGTTTTGCAAATCAATCTAGGATATACAGAGCTTAAGAAATACACACCTGCCCTTTGCATTGTAAACAGGGTTGTCCAATCTGTGTCTCCCACCCATACCTGGAGTTAATAAAAGAAGACACCAATTCAGAACCATCTTCATCAGACCCAGTCTTTACTGCCTGCGTCAAACAACTCAGGCTTTTCTATCAGTACAAAATGCTGAGGACTATGAACTCACTGGAAAGACAAGAAACCATTTTTTAATATTTTGGAGGTAATCTGTGCCAAAGAGGTTAATGAGATATAGAAATAAAGTTACATGCCAGTTTCTGAAGAGAATTAAAGGAATTTCAGTGTCTGGACTCTACTAATCTCATGCTTTTCTAGACGGCAATTGAGCTATCATTTGAGGAACAAGACCCAATTTTTTGTTGTGGTAATGGTGGTTTTGTTTGGTTTTCTGTTTGTTTTTAAGAGATGGGATCTCACAATTTTGGCTATGAGAGCAGAATCTTTCTGAGCACAAGTATGATTCTCATGCTTCAGCCTCCTGAGTTGCTGGCATATGCCACCACTCAAGACTCTACTCTGTGAGCACCTCTTCCCTGAGGGATAGTCTAGTAAGCTGACATCAGAGATTATGGTGAATCAGGGAGAGGTGTATTTGTCTGAGTTCTGGACCCTGCAAAAGTCAGGGACTTCCTCAGGACTTTAAGACTTTCCCCCAAAGTGACCAAGTGGGACTTTCCCCCAGGGACTGCCATCTCCAGGAGAACCACTCAAACAGAGTCAACAATCTATGACATTTCCAACACCTCTGTCACTACTCCTATACCAACTCTCCTGCAGAAAAAGAACAAAGCAAAACCTTATACAAAACAGTATGGTGTCACATTCTCTTTGCAGAATTATGGTCAACTATAAAATACGATAGTTGTCATTCTCATAGCAGTGGAACCCTACCCAACCTCTCAACATTAGAGCCTTTTGAGCATCTTTGGAGTCTCATAGTAAAGTAAATTCAGTAAAAAGCAAGAAAATACATAGAGTTTGCTGTAGAACAAAAGAATTCAAGAAAGCCTGACCCTAAATCACCCCTGCTATGGTGTGAATTTGGCTCCCCTGGATCCTATAGTTTATGTGTTCAAAACTTAATCCCCAAAGCAACAACGTTTAAGAAATGATTAGGTCATGAGGTCTCAGTGGTTTAATATCACTGTCACAGGAGTGAGTTTGGGACTGCAAGAGTGGTTTTGCTATAAAATTGACTCTGGCTCCTCTCTCTCTCTCTCTCTCTCTCTCTCTCTCTCTCTCTCTCTCTCTTCCCCTGTCTTATCTTATGCTTGGCAGAAAGGTTCTGGCCAGATGCAGGTCCCTTGCCCTTGGACTTCCCAGCCTCTAGAACTGTCACAAATAAATCTCTGCTTTATGTAAGTTACCCATGCTCAAGCATTCTGTTATAGCAACATCAAATGAACTAAGGTGCCCACTTTAGAAAAGTACTCACATTATGTAAATGATGCTTTAGACCAATTGAGACTGCTATATATAAAAGGAAAGGGGCTGGGGATTTAGCTCAGCGGCATAAGCACCTGCCTTGCAAGCAGGCAGTCATGAGTTCGATCCCTGGTAGCGATAAAAAGGAAAAAGGACCCCCCCCCAAAAAAAAAAGGAAATCACTGCTTTCCTTGGGTATTCTCCAGGGAAATATCTACATAATTTATATTCTTGTTTTCCAAATGTTTCCAAAACATTTGATTTTATGATTTTTAAATACTGGAAAGCTTCAATTTAAGCATTTAAGGAACCAGAGGCATCATAATCAGGCAAACAACATTTTGTTTATACTCCTGGACCTGTAAAGGAATCTTTTTCTACAATGGAAATGTACTAGATTTTAAAAGATAGCACTATTCATGGTATTGGGACTGGTCTGTCCTATAGGTCTTGGCTCTGAGCCCTGGCACAGAACTTGCATTTCAACTTGAGACATACGAAGAATAGAAACATCTTGTCAAGAATTAACCTTTTTCCCTTTAGAGATTCAATATAAAGTGACAACCAGAACCCCATTTATTATTGTCTTGAACTTGGAAACCAAAATGTTTGTAAGGGCTTCTTAATGTGTATGATAGAGTACAGCACAGCAGGCCATAGAAATAAATGCCATTTCAGGGCATGTCTACTATGTTAATGGGGCACATTCAACAAAGAGCTGCTGATAAATTCAATGGCCGCAAGTCTGGTGTCTCAATTCAGACTGAGACATCAGCATGAGGTTAATGTGAAGGAGCTCAGATCCTAGGAGCTCATTAACAGTACTGCCTTATGTCATACAAGATGACATTGGCTTTGTTCTTCCTCATGCCATAGAAAAAGTGACCTTAGGTTATTGTTAAGCCTTGAAAATGTGGTACTGTATCACAATCAGAAATAAACAATCCACATCAAAGTTGATTAAAATAGATCAATGTTAAATATGTGGATGCTGATAATGTGTACCACAGTTATGTGAAAAGTCCCTGTTCTTAGGAAATACATGCTAGAATGGCTTAGGTTATTTACACTTGAGTGTACTTGAGCCATCACACATGTAGCTTTTTTTCAAATGGTTTGAGAAAAACATTTGGTTTATATAGAGCAAATGGAATAAGTATTAACAATAAGGAATCTGCATAAAAATATATGTATGTTCTTTGTTCTTATTCTTGTAATTTTTCTCTTGATATTTCCAAATAAACAGTTAAAGGAAAAAACTAGAGAAAGAAATAATACTCAAATTGAAAGCCTAAAATTAATCCTGATACTAATAGATTGTAATTTATACATCTTAGCCCTTTATTTATACATACATACATACACACATACATACCTAAATGTACATCAAGGGGGATAATATTTTTACAAAACAGTTTGGAAAATGATCTATTGTATGAAAGAGATTTTTCCTGGAAAATTCACAATTGAACATAATTTGAATAATGGCAGAGAATAAAATGGGCCCATGACCTTCCATTTCCATTATAAAGGGTTTGATAAGAAAAAAAACAGTACAGCTGTTAAGCCAACATCATCACAGCTGGACAAGGCAAGCCAGTGCAGACCCAGTCAGTAAGGTGCTCAGCCTCAGGAATTTGAGCTGTGATTTATTCAACCACATTTAGTTACTCCAAGGATGGATACTTTGGTGGTGTCAGAATCTCATGAAAGTGACTTTAGTAGATCTTAGGTTTTAGTGTGTTGTGTTTCCCTCCTGGGGTTTAAAAAGTTACTTGGTTGACCTCAGTCTGCCAGCTCCAAGTCACAGAGGTGGCCTTCTCAGAGTCAGCTGTAGTAATGAGTTCACTCTATGGTTTCAGGGATCTTATTGTTTGCTGCCTCAGGTACCCTGAAGTCAGGGCTCTTGTCTTCAATGATTTCTCCACTGATGGCCAAGAAGACTCACAGGAGGCTTCTCATTGCCTCTACCTCCCCTTCCCATGCCAATGTCTAACATCTAGCAATTAAAGATCTATGTCTTGACCTTAAATCTTCCCTCCTCTCGCACATTCTTATCCCAGAGACAGACCTTTTGGTTAGGTTATTTGAACTTCATTGCACATGTCCCAGGAAGGAGAAAGAAAAGTAGAGTGACTTGCCAGGGATCTTCTGACTGTTCAGCTGATTGTCAAGCACCGAGGACAGTAGCATGAGTCTAAATAGCCCTGATGAGCCTGCTCTACTCCTGTCCCCTTGTGAAGGCTTGGGTGGGGCTCATGCCTACAGAGATCTTGGTACTAAGGAAGCAGGAAGTCTTTGAGCCACTTTAAACAACAAACATTTAAGTGGATAAAATGCTGCACTCTCAGATAACAATGGAAACTTTTAACTAGAGTTAGTTGTGCCCCCTGCACTTGCCCAGATGGCCAATTGCAGCTCCTAGTCCTGCACCTATGTCTTGTCATCCTCTCTTCTTCTGCCTGAGTAGAAAGCGATCAGCCTTCTTTTTGCTCACAGCATTCTCCTACTTGCTTGTTCCTCCAATTCCACTCTCTCAAGCGCCTTGCCCTCTTCCAGGCATCCCATCACTCTTCCTGCCACAGTCCTCCTTTTCAATCTGTTCTGACCATACTGTGACACGGAAAAGAGGAGAGAAGGCCACGCAGTCACTCTGCCAACATCCACACTACACCTGTGTCTAGGACCTCTCTGCTCTTTTGAGTTTGCTGGGACCTGAAATTTCCTTCATCCACCTACAAAAGGATCTGCCTCCTCACAGGCTTCCTCCACTAAGGGTGCCTTGTGTACACATTCTGGAAGGATTAGCTAGACCCTCTAAGATTTTCCACACTCTAAAGCTCTGGCACCTTCAGTACCTTATATTGGTACAACTTTTGTAATGCAGGGCGCTCAGTGATAGCTCCTTTTTCTACCTGCCTCTGTAACAGGAACAGTGCTGAGTTCTTTTGGAAATCCTCACAGAAACCTCTATAAAAGCATTCACGGCTACAGAGACACCTTCAAACTGCTGCTCAGAAGCAGCAGAGAGCAACTGCAGTCTCTCAGGTAAATAAAAGGCAGCACACAGATCCTATCTGCGACCATGAGGCAGATCTCCAGAGGAAGTGTGGCTGATGGGACATCGTCCCCAGCCCCTGGCAGCCAGAGTGGCTCAACAGCTAAAGCACCATAAGCAGTGCAACAATTTCTCATCCTGAGCTCAGACTCCTTGGAAATGGCTCCTTCAGATTTCTGAGCAACCCTGCATGGGATCTCCAATTCCGAGTGCCATCTGTTATGAGGAAGACTCCACCCCCGA